GGGCTCCTGACTTCACGGAGCTCAGACCCTCATGAGCTCTTCACTGGCTCTGGGGTCATCTCTTCCATAAAGTGTCGGGGACTTAATGTTAAGCCGAGGGCCCACCTCCTGTGCTTCTGGGAAATCCATCTACTTGCCCTATTATAATGGGTTGTACATATATAAATAGGTCCCCACCTGGTCCCCAAAGAGGTCCTTGACGGCTGGAATTACGTGGGGTTCAGATAGGAATGCCTTCACCAACACAGAGCCTTCCAGGGATTCCAGTCAATATTTGCTGAACTGAAATGAATACCTTAGTGTCAGTTATTTTAGCTCTCTCAGCTAAAAATTTTAAATAAGGGGTATAAGGGCCTTCTGCCATCATTTCCAAATAAACCATGTCACTAAGATTTATGCCTGAGAGGGGCGTTAGGGTGACCTGCCTGAGATGGGAGCGCGGGGGGGGAATCCATGTAAGATGCAAAACTAGCCAAATTATTTCACTACAACACGCAGAGTAGTGCCACGTGCTGTACACTACTACACAAAGATATACAAAGATAAGTGTTTTGTGTCATAAATGTCAGGGGTGCAGATCTATAACTATCATAATCCTTGTTTCAAAACACGTTTTTATCACTGGGCCATGATCTAAGTATAATTTAGTTATTCATAGATTGATTTACCAAATAACAGCTCAACGACCATGAACCCACCGAAACACCAGAACAAAACAATGAAGGGTTTTAACAACAATGAGGTGTCTCTATCTTCATTATACGCAGAGGGAACAGTACATTTTTTGATTAGGTGGATCTCAGGGAAGCAAAATTGGGTCGATCACGTCTTTTTTGGTCAAATTTTATCATTGGAATACTCTTGGCCATTTGCATTTTCTTTATAGGAGATTTTTTTCCACCTTGTTTATTATGTTGGTCAATTACTTGTTTTCAAAAGTTAAGTCAACAGCAAGGAATCTACCTCCAAACGCGTGGAAACAATTTGATTAGTATTTAAATCTCTCTATGGACTCCTTACACAGAATGGTACAACAGTCGACCCAAGTTAAACAGACCATTGTTTGGTAAACTGCATCACTGCCCATGAGAGGGCCTTGTAATTTAACTAGTATATTCACTTCTTATTTATTTAATAAAAGGAAAACACACCAACCCAAGAACAACCACTTTCACTAAGACCAGAGTGTGTCTCTAGTCTTCTTAATCTAAGAGGTAATAGTTATCTTTCTAAGGGGCCTTGGCTTTACAAAGCGAATTAAAGATGACCCTTTGTCAAGACAAATTGTTATCATTGGTCCATGCGTGGCCTTCTCCCATTTGATTTTTAGATTGCACGAAACCATTGTTCTTTTAAAATAATATAGTCATACTCCCTAAACAAAATGACCGAACCAAAAATAAAACTTTATTACTTACACTGATCTATGATCTCCTTGGCCACATAGGTAAGAGTCAAGATCTTCATCATTAAATAATGACTGAAGCAGCCAAGGCGAGGCCATTCTGGGATACAAAACAGATATAAAAAATGAAATACACTCACTATTGATTCGTCCTTTGCACTGAGTAACAGTAACGCATAAATGGTCGCTACTCATTACCAGGGCGATAACAGACTATGAAACTTCAAGGTGGAATTTAGTGGCCACAACTGCTCTTGTTATATAACAAAATTTATCACTGACCCTCTTTAATTTAAATATCACTTAACCCTCAATCTTATAAAAATTTTATATATAGTAATAAAATAAACCACCAGTAGATCAAAGACATCCCGGAATATGAACATGGACAATTGAAGTATCTGTCTCTATGTGACACATTCTGAGATGAGATTCAGCTGACATTCGTTCATGACACAGGCTGTATTTGGTCCAGGGGTAGCTGGGCTTTTATTCAATTACTCCTGTTTGTTGAAAAACCCTCCATGTACAGTTCCCTTATAATATAATTATCCATGAAACACAAAAGCCCAAGATTGGGTAAACTGAATATTCCTACCACTGTCTATAGGATCACAACCAAAGGAGCAATAGACTAGGTTTCAGACCTTGGGCATCAGGACACAGGCTATGCCTCATCCTCAACAGACACCAACGGTCGTTACCAATGGTCACATGCATGAATCTTGATCCTCACTTATTCTTTGCCTATTGATTTACTCATTAATTTACTGTTGAATAAGAAGATGTATACATGGATCAGAAAACCCAGAATAAGAGCCCTGATACCCCAATGTTCACAAAATCATTTCAAACAGACACTGGATGTTTCCTGAGTTGGCCTCAGTGTTTCAAACAAGGCGGCCTCAACATAATCGTTCATATTAACCCCACATTCGTCATGGGCTAGGGTTAGTCTTCTTTGATTATACTGTCTACTTCTTTAATAACACACGGACCAATCTTAAAGCCCCCAAACCAAGACAAGAACTGGAACTACCGTCCACAGTGGACATCATGCTCCTAAGACGGCCCCTGAGTGGGAGGCCACGGCAGAATGTTAAACTCTCACAGGAGTGCCCTTTCAGTTACTCAGTCATTTAACATTTATTGATTTATGGTAATGTTTGCTTACTTTTCTCTTAAAACAAATGTTGAATTTGCAGTTGATCCAGAACAAGACACTGATCAATAGCTCTGTGACCCTTGGCCAATGAGGTAACAGCCTCGGTCCCCTTAGTATCAATTCTAAATTATATTAATAGTATTTCTTTCTTACCACATATTTTGATAACTGTAATATGCCTCATTCTCTTCATCTTTAATCATCTGATATTTGTATTGACTCTTTTATAATAACATAATGATAATCCATGAACCACCAAATTGGAAAGACAAGATTTTTAAATATCTCTAACATCTATCTTAGGATTTTCCCCAACACGGGGACAGACTGGATTTCTACTGTGCTGGACCTCAGGGTTCCAGACACAGAGCAACCACCAACCATGACTCACAGGCCACCAGTGGTCACCTCCCTGATCCAGAGGTGGCCTTCATTTTTTAAATTCATGTCTACATGAATTTTATTCATAAATCAGGTCACCAATAATAATAAAATATACACCTAAACGCACAAACCGTGAGAATAAGATATATGCACTAAACTTGTTGTAGAATCATTACTCGTGGCCACAACTCTCTTTCATTTCTTGACTTCCATGCTGCATTTATGGATTAATCAAAGCCATGCTCCCCAGGATCCCTGTATTTATGACCGAGCCAGAGCTGACTTTCAGGAATTAATTTCAAACTTTTAAAATGATGTAGTGAATACTTTTAAAAAACACTGACACCAAGACAAGAACTGTGACTAATACTCACATTGTCTCCATGCTCATAACGCACAGATGGAGTAACTAGAGAAATCGTGACACTTAAATCAGCTCGAGTGTGCCCGCCGTGGAACACAGGGCAGAACAAAGGGTTTCAAAAGTGAGAGGCACCGTGTGCAAAGGTCTGTGCACCCCACCTGTTGCCATTTACTCAGTCATTTGGGTAACGAGTTACTAGAGATAACGTTTATTTCATCTTCTCCGGAGTAAACATCAGTCTTGGAGCACCGAGTGCTATTTACCGGTGTCTATAGTATCGTCAGGCAAGGGGAACACATCCTTTTACTATCACTTCCTAAATAATATCGGGGTATGCGACATACTTAATAGCATTTCCTGCCAGATCCCATAATTCTATAATTAGACATTGCTTTACTCCATTTAAATTAATTTATTTACATACTTAGTTATGAATTCTTTTACTTATCCGATAATAATTATAAAACAAAAGTGCAAAGACACAAAGATCAAAGTTTTTTTTAAAAAAAGGCCTTTGTGTACTCCTCACATCTGTCAACAAGATCCCTTTGAACAAAACAGCGAGGGATTTTTTAAAAACTGAGATCCTATCTTCTATGGGCCTTGCTTCCTGCATTTCATTTATTCAGTCATTTAGACACTTATGAAATTTTCATCATGTAAATATTTTTCTCTTTACAAAAGGACAACAGACGACACTGGGTGGTTCCCGGAGGGAAGAGGGGAGGGGAGGAGAGGGTGGGGGGTCAGCTGTACGGTGACACACATGCCATCGCTGGTCATCGCCAATCCAATACTGTTCCTCTGTTCCCTCGCTCATTTCTACAGTTTAATGATTAGTAATTATTTTACTACTAATAACTTTTAAATGCTGTCATTCTCAAAATGCAAGAGGAGTTTTGATGTCTCTAATCTATTCGTAGGACTCCCCCCCTCTCATCCCTTGTCCTAAGCGTTTCTTGTGCACGTGACTAAACAGGGTGTCAATTATAACCCACAGTTGCCGCTGAGTTAGAACTGCATTCCGAAATATATTTTGCACTTTTGAATGAGTAATCTTAAAACAACACTGAAACCAAGACAACAGCGGGAACCGTTCCGCACCTTGCCCGCTGGCCGCCGCAAATGAGGCCAAGGGCATGGGGACAGTGCGGGGGACAGTGGGGCCGATGCCCCGGGCCCTGCCGCCCCACTCTGCTCACTATTCAGGTCCTCGCTACTTTTTATCTCAAAAAAAGTAAAAACAAATGACCACCCCAGACAGCGGCTCGGACCATTGCTCACCTTGGGCTCTGCGCAGACACGCGGGGCATGGCCACCTCCGGGACGCAGACGGCAGGACCCGAACCCGGCCCAGTGTCCATTCGGAAGGGAGAAGACCAGACAAAAACAGGACAAAAACGGTGAGACTTTCTCTCCATTGATGCATGTTCCCACCATTCATTCGCATACTTATTGAGGCATTTATTATTTTAAGGCAATAGTTATTTATTTTCCCCTCAATAAATCAAATGTCAAAGTTGTAACTAATTCAGTTCGTAACTGACTATTATTTACCACTGTCTGTCATTGTTACTCAAAGACATATACGCTGGGTCGTGATATTCTCCATTCCATTTTCTATTATCACATTTCTTTATTATGTATTTTTTAATTGAATAGTGGTTCACCTTATTGTTATAGTGGTTCCCACTATAGATTTATGTATCTTGCTGTTTCCAATAATATTTTTAAATATTCACATACACAGAGACCAAGAACATGATTTTTTATACACCTAACCTCTCGTTATAGGATCATTTCAAACGGGAGAAAGGACTGGGTTTCTTTGGAGTTGGACGTTGGAACTCCAGGGAGAATTCATGATGCAAGACCCACGCGCCCCACCCGCCACCGTCATCTCCCAGGCCGGAGCCTCACGATCTTCAGCCACGTCTACCTGCTTTAATTGATTAATGCATCAACTCACTAAGGATAATAAAATAAATGCCCAGAGGGTCACAAAACCCTGAAGCAAGATTCCTAAGCACCTCTAACAGGTGACTATAAAATGACTGTCCACAAACAACACGTATCTTTCATTAACGACCTCAAGATTTCCTACAAGGGTTAATTAACGTAATACTTCGTATTAGCACCGATATTCTTTTTAGCATGTTTGGCAATCACGGATCATATTTCAGACTCTTTAAAAATGCAGCAAAAACCTTTTAAAAAACTTCAAAACCAAGACAAGGACTTTGTGACTCACATTGCTCTCCGTGCTCTTAACGCATCGCCGCAGCCACAGAGCCGCCGCCGTAATCGCATCAGCCGCGCCGCGAGGCTAAGGGGCACAGGGGAGAGCAGAGAATGCAGAAAGGTGAGATACTATGTCAGGGATCCTGGAATTTCACCCCCCTTTTAGTCAGCCCTTTAGTCATTCAGCAATGAATGGAGGTAATTTAATATTTTATTTTCTCTTAAGTAATCGAGTATGGATCTTGCCCCTGAATATTGACTGTTAAGTATCGATAACTACATCATTCTTAGTCAAAGCATAACACTTTCGTACATAATCTCCTAAGAGATATTTGTTTTATATACGTTGTGTGTTTTTTACCTAACCACATATTTTATTATTGGACAAAATTTCATCACAAGAGAATTATTTTCACATCAATATATCGCTTTCTTTAAATATCCAATATTTTTGTGTTTTATATCACTTCAGTTGCATGCTTCCATGTCTCTGGATCGATTTGTAGTGTCAGTTTATTTAGTTCCTTAGATTCTACATATGAGTGAGATCATGTGAGACTTGTCTTTCTCTGTCTGGCTTATTTCATTCAGCATAATAACCTCCAGGTCTCTCCATACTGTCCCAAAGGGTAAGGGAATCTTATTTTTCACTGCTGTATAGTATTCCATTGTGTAGATATACCAAGGCTTTTTTATCCACTCTACTACTTGGGCTGTTTCCAGATCTTAACTATTATAAATAACACTGCTATGAACATAGGGATGCACATATATTTAATTACATTGAATATTTTTAATAATACAATGAGTAAGCTAAAACAAGGCACTCAAGCTAAAATATCATTATTACTCACATGGGTCTCATGCTCCTACAACACAGACGCAACGGGAGCGCTCGGGACACTGAAGGGGCTTGAATCCGCTCAGGAGCGTCCGTTCTGAGGAGTAGAGAGCACAGCACAGGACGTACAGTCAGACGCGCTTTGTGAGAAGGGCCAGGCCCGCGTCTCCTGCGCCGGACCTCAGCGTTTCAGGCACGTAGTATTCACCATCCGTGACTCATACGCCGGCAGGAATCATCATTGATCCAGTACAACCCCTGGTCTTCCTTCACTTCTACCTTGTCTATTGATTAATTCATTAATGCACTAATTATAATTTAAAGGCCCTACTCTTCAAAAAACCCCAACAAGGCCTCGATAATCTTAGAATGCAACTGAAATCATTCTCACAAAATATCTCCATCACTAATTATTCTCAGTTTTTCATATATGTATTGACCAAAATAACACTTTATATTAACACTGTAATTATTCACAGAAAATTCCAGAAAAGACAAGAACTTCATTGTCACTCACGCTGGTCTCCAGGCTCCTGAAACAAGGTGCAATCGTAGGGCGCACGGTCAAGGGAGAACCCGGAGAACGGGCCGAATCTGTCCACCCTGAGGGGTAACAGGCAGAGCAGATGACAAAGAAGTGAGACCTTCTCCCCACGGACTGTGGCTTCTCACCTCTGATTTCGCCAGGCAGGGGGCAAGTCGCTACGTGGGTATCAATACCTCTTCCTCCTAAGACAACGAACAGCGTTGATCTAGCCACTGACCCGGGATCTGAATACTGTCTGTGACTCACACTGTCCATGTCACCCTTCGCCATACAGGCTACAGTCACATGCCATTTCCTTCTCGTTACACTTCAGGGTTTTCATCCCATATCAGCAGGATGTCTCCTATAATCACATATTCTTAAAATTGGACAAGACTTCAGGACATTCATCCTTACTCATATATTTCCTTATAGAGTCTCTCAATGATCCAATTATAATAAATAAAATGGAAATGTAGGAACATAGAGGTCAAAAAGAACATCTGCATATATTCCTGACATGTGTCTATAGGGTCCCTCCAAACAACTGGAGTGGACGAGATTCCTTTTGTGATGGACCTCAGGGTTCCAGACACGTATGTAGCCAGCTATGTGACGAAGGGCCACCAGCAGTCATCACCGATCCCGTTTTCCCCCTTTTTAATTGTTTATAGATCATTAATCCACTAATAACATCTAAACACAATGACTCATTGAAAGCCAAGGCGAGTTTTTATGCCCCTAACCTGCACACATGTGAACGCTCACCCTGGTGGAGCTCCTGGGTGAATTACCCCCCTTTCCATACGTGCATTGGTCAAAATCAGGGTTCACAGAGCCAGAACTGATCACCGACATGCATTCCTTCTTTAATTATATTTTATATTTTTAATACTGTAGTGAACTGCCTTTAAAAAAAGCCCACAATTAACCAAGAAAAATAAAACTTCGGCTATTACTCACATTAATCTCCTCCTCTTGTTACCTAGAGGCGACCAGAGAGCTGGTGACCAGGGACGAGGCAGGAGCAGCCCGGCTGCGCCAGGGTAGAAGGACAGGGCGGGGCACGCGATGACACTGAGAGGCCAGGGGACGCTGAGCCTTGCTGACCTCATTTCATAGACTCAGGAGGTGGACCTTTCTTCTGTTATATTAAAGTATCTCTATCCATTCTAACATGAGACTGACCCAGAACAATACAATAAAGTCATACTAATTAATGTCTCGGATTCTTAACCAAAGAGGAAATACCCCACTACATTTGTTACTTAATAAATGTCTTTTCAATTTTATTAATAATTTTGAAACTTAATGATTCAGAAACCCAAGGTCCTTATTATGTATCTAGAATAATCTTCACATAATATATCTCCTTCATTAATAACCCCAAATTTCATTTGCACATTCATCAATATACTATTTCATATTAATTCAATATTGACCAATGGACTACCGGTGGACTTCATTGATTCTATATGGCACTTTTTAGACATATACTCAAAACACTGAAAAACAATCACTGAAACCCAGACAGGACCTTTGACTATGACTCACGTCGGTCTCCGTGCCGCCGGTAGGGGGATGGTGTCCATCCTGTGGGGCAGAGAGCAAAGCAGCCGACAAAGCAGAGACTTCCCCCGTCACCCCTCGCTTACCTCGAGGCAGTTTTACTGGAGAATATTCATCTCAATGTCTTTTATGGAAACAAACCACTGTGAGCTTTCCACTGCCCCAGAATATAAACACTACCATCTGCCCCGCCTATGTCACCTGTAGCCAAACAAGGGGCACAGTCAGGCACCATTGATTTCTCCTAGGACGGCATTATTTTCAAGTTATATGAATAGAATTTATTGCCTCCCCGCATGTGTTTTCAATCGGACACCACAACTACCATTTATTTCTATATATTTCTTAATTAATAAATCAGATTCAATTATAATAACAAACAAAAATGCACACAGAGGAAGACCCCAGAGTTCACACATTATTTAGCATCTGAGACTCAGACTCTGGCCGGAGGACACTTTGTCTTCATTTCTACATGGCTTATGGATTAATTCATTAATTCTCGAATTTAAAATGTAAAACTCTATGAGTCCCAAAAGCTCAGCGAGACCTTAACATCCCGAACATGCACCAAGCACCATTCCTACGCCGCTATCTGTCATGATCCGCAGTTTTCTCTGCGTTTGAATCGATAGAGTGCTTCCGATCAATCCCGTAATTGTTACTAGGATGCGGCTCCCCCGCTTTGATTGTATTAAAAACTTTTTATTAATACAGTGGCTCCCTTACAAACACCAGCAGAACCGGGATGCGAACGTTCATGGTTCCTCACGCGGGCCAGCTCCCGGCTCGGGCCGAGGGGGGTCAGTCCCGCAGCGAGGCCAGTGCGTTGGTCCTGGGACGCCCGAAGCAGAGCGCGGGAAGGAGCGGAGCCCCCGCGCCGCGGGCCTCGCTGCGCCGCGCTCGGGGGCAGGCCCGCTGTTCCCGCGGGGCACGACTCGCCCCTATTTCAAATTGAACTTGAGGGTTTTCATAACGTGTCAATAACATTTCTTGCCCAATCACATATTTTTATAATTGGGCGAGGCTTGGCTACACTGACCTTTACTTATTTGTAAATTTATAGATTCTCGCGATTATCCAACTAGAATAATAGAATGAAAATGTATGAAGACTCGGGTCAAAACCAAGATCCTCGTACACTCCTGACATCTGTCTATATTCCCTTAAATCAACAGGAAGGGCCCAAACGTCCTTCTGCCGGACCTCAGAGATCGACACAGTCATCGCATCGGGTCAGATGCCACCCGCGCTCCTCATCGATCTCGTATCGCTTTTTCTTCGGTCAATTCTATAGGTTCATTGATTAAATCATTAATTTACTACTAATAATTTCTAAACACTGATACATAAAAACCCTAGAGGAACCTTTAAATCCCTATTCGATCCATTGATTATTCTAACATCAATGTATCACTTTCGTTAATTATCCTCAGTTTTTCACTGGACTAATCAATGTAATGTTTCATAAATCCAATGCTAATCACGAAGATGCAGTTGCCTTAATTAATCCTCTTTCAGGACTATCTAATAATTATTTTTTTTAAAAACATGGAAACCAAAAGAAGAATTTTTCCTGTTACTCACATGAACCTTCGTCACCTTCTACAGAGGCAACTGTCCAGCTCAGGGCCATGGAAGGGGCTTGAATCAGCTCGAGGGTGGCCGTTCTCAGGACAGAGTGGAAAGTGATAAAAGAGAGAGAGGCAATCATCACTGAGGCTTGCTTTCCATAGTTCATAAATTTAGTATTGATATTTCTGTAAATATATATCTATCTTACAAAAGGAAAACATCAATCTTCAAAACCAAGAATAAAATGGGCTCTCCTTATCAGAGGATTTATGGACTCAGTTAAAGAGGTGAGGCTTGTACCCATTTATCTCTTACGAGGCATCGCCCCACACTCTGAAGATCAAGTAACGCTTCACCCTCTTATTTTAAATTATTATATATATTTGTTGAATGGTCCCATCATTATGTGATAACAAATCTACTTCTATGAAATTCACGCAAGAATGTGACCATAGTCTATTGTAGACATCTCTTGGTGGAAGCGATTAATAGATTTATGGCCGCGTTGGGCCTCAGTTTCAGTCCGACAGTATTCCTCACCCAAGACTTGTACTTGACCAGTCACCCTCACTGGTGCAGGTTAGGTCCTCCTTGTAGTCATTAATGTTTACATGATTTATTAACTTATCAAAAAACTAAGAATAACCAAATAAATGCATAAAGGTCACAAAAAGTGAAAGAAAATCCTAAAATATCACTAACATTTGTCTATAGAATTACTTCCTACTGCCTATAAATCTTCCCTTCATTAACTTCAAAGTTTTCTAAAAAGATTAATTAACATACTGCTTCATAGGCCACGGTTATAATTTGTTTATTTTATATCACATCTTTAATAATTCAGTGAAAATCTTTTTAAACAAAAACACAAAGCCAAGAAAAGAAGTTTGACTCTTACTCACGTTGGGGCCCATGGTCCTGGTACACAGGGGCAGCCGTGGGGCTCCTGACCACAGAATGTGCAGAAATCGCCCCGCTGTGACCACTTGGAAAGCACGGGGCGGAGCACATAACAGAGAAAAGGCTGAGACATCGTGACATCGGTCATCGCGTTTCCCTTTCACTGAGGCAGCCACTTATGTCTCCAACGTATTAGGACAACGTGTATTGTAATTTCTCATGAATAAATGAACAATATTGATCTGACCCCCGCAAAACATGGACATTTACTACTATGTATGAACATCTGAATCATCCTTGCTCAAAGAATAACGACCTTGAACCACTGAGCCACTTAATCAAAAACAAGATGCTCATATACTCCGGACACCTGTGTATGGGAGCCCTCAGACGATGGGAATGGACTACATTTCTCTCGTGTGGGGCCCACAGTTCAACATACAGGCATCGCGCAGGTCTCACTGGCCGCCCGCGGTCACCACACAACCAATACTGCCCCAGCTTTTTTCATTCAGGTCTACATTGTTTATTGACTAATTCATAACTCATTCATAATAATTTTAAAACCCAAATTCTTCCCGCCCCCCCAAAAAAACAAAAAGAGTCATGGTATCCCTAACCTGTAAATAGGATCTAACATATCTTTTAAAAAGTACGCTGTTTTGCATTTATACATTGATCACTATGTTTCATAAAATCCAATATTTCTCACTGAGCTACAATTGGCCTTTATAATCCTATATAAAACTTCTGAATGCTGCATGGAATATTCTGGAAAAAATAATCACTACAATCAAGACAGGAACCATGGCCATTACTCACATCGCTCCGTGTGCTCCTCACACAGGCACGTGGTCGTACAGCTCGGCGGCGCAGATCAACCACCACCAGCTCACCTGCACCACAGCGAGAGGCACAGAGCACAGTCAATGACTGATAAGTAAGCAAACCCTGTAGACCCCGCCCCACTGATTCTTCCTCTCCACATTTCATATACTCAGTCATTCAAGGAGATTTGACTGTGGGTGGTGGGCAAATAATGCAACATACAGATGATGTACCATGGAACTGAACACTTGAAATCGATATAATTTTACTAACCAATGGCAACCCAATAAATTTAATAAAAATTTCTTAATTAAAAAATTACACGTGTATTATAAGGTAGATATTTCTTTTAACAAAACAAAAACCTCAAACTTAAGACTGATGCAGAACAATAAAATTAAAGTTTAATTATTCATATCTAAATGATCGCTGGCCAAGGAGGTAACACCCTTGACCCATTTATTTCTTAATGGGCCTCAGTGTTTGTACTTTTTATTACGATTTCTTGCCTCTCTACATGTGCTCATAGTTGACAACACTTCGAAATTTCTACTAATCTGTTATTTATATATTGCCAATGGTCCTATCACTGACCCAGCTATAATAATGAATCTAAGTAAAAACCTGGTCTTGGTGCACCCCTAATACTTGTTCAGAAGACCAAATGCACAAAGCAAATAGACCATGCATTGGGTGGCACCTCAGAATTCCAGGTACTATTCAATGTCCATAACTCATCTGTCACAGTCATTATAGTTGGTCCATAGAAGTGAACATTTACTTAATTAATTTCTATATCTGGGTTGATTAAATCGTTAATTCACTGATAATAATAAAATGAATACATGATAAAAACTGAAGAACCAACCACTCTGAATATACCCAACTATTACCTGCAGAGTAACTGCCAACAGAGATTCTATCTTTCTAATTAATCAAACAGTTACATTTTATTAATTAATCAACATAAAGTTTTATAGCATATTTATCATGGGGCAATAAATTACTTTNAAAATAATGCAACATACAGATGATGTACCATAGAACTGAACACTTGAAATCAATATAATTTTAAAAACCAATGGCAACCCAAAACATTTAGTAAAAATTTCTTAAGTAAAAAATTATACATATATTATAAGGTAGATATTTCTTTTAACAAAACAAAAACCTCAAACGTAAGACTGATGCAGAAAAATGAAATTAAAATTTAATTATTCATATCTAAATGATCGCTGGCCAAGTAGGTAACACCCTTGACCCATTTATTTCTTAATGGGCCTCAGTGTTTGTAATTTTTATTATGATTTCTTGCCTCTCTACATGTGCTCATAGTTGACAACACTTCAAATTTTCTACTAATCTGTTATTTATATATTGCCAATGGTCCTATCATTGACCCAGCTATAATAATAAATCTAAGTAAAAACCTGGTCTTGGTGCACCCCTAATACTTGTTCAGAAGACCAAAAGCACAAAGTGAATAGATCATGCATTGAGTGGCACCTCAGAATTCCAGGTACTATTCAATGTCCATAACTCATCTGCCACATCATTATAGTTGGTCCATAGAAGTGAACATTTACTTAATTAATTTCTATATCTGGGTTGACTAAATTGTTAATTCACTGATAATAATAAAATAAATACATGATAAAAACTGAAGAACCAACCACTCTGAATATCCCCAACTATTGTCTGCAGAGTAACTGCCAACAGAGATTCAATCTTTCTAACTAATCAAACAGTTACATTTTATTAATTAATCAACATAAAGTTTTATAGCATATTTATCATGGGGCAATAAATAACTACTTGATTATATTTATTAACTTTTTACTATTGAACATATTATAGATGTCCCCCATTTTCTCTCCTTTGACCCCTCCACCCAGCTCCTGACCCACCCTGGGACTTCACTATTGTCCGTGTCCATAGGCCTATACATATATGCATGTAAGTTCTCTGGTTAACCTCTTCCCACACTCTCATCACCCTTCCCTCTGAGATCTGTAAGTCTGTTCCATGCTTCCATGTCTCTGGACCTATTTTCTTTTTCAGTTTATTTTGTTCATTAGATTCCACATATAAGTAAGATCATGTGATATTTGTCTTTCTCTTACTGGTTTATTTTGCTTAGCGTAATAATCTCTAGCTCCACCCATGCTGTCTCAAAGGGTTATCGATCCTTCTTTTTTACAGCTGCATAGTATTCCATTGTGTAGATATACCACAGTTTTTATCCACTCATCTAGTAATGAGCGCTTGGGCTGTTTCCAAATCATAGCTGTTGTAAAGGATGCTGCTATTACTAAATTTTAATAATTGTATGAATGATACCCTTAAATTACCCCAAAACAGAGACAAAGTATCAGATTAATACTCACCTTGGTCTCTCTCCTAACGTGGAGGCAACAGAGCAAACGTGGCCAGGACAGAGCTGCAAACAGCTGGAGCACCTGTTCTCAAGAGTGCCAGGCAGAGAGGGTGACAAAGAGGTTCAGACTTCCTTCCACAGACCCTGACATTAAATCTATCATGGATTCAGTCATTTAGGATTCATTATTTGGAGTATATTTATGTAATTGTCTTTGAGGAAAACTACTCAGAACTTCCCACGGACCGAGAACATTAACACTGTCTATAATTAACCGAGTCTACTGCACCCTTAGCCAAAGAGCGGCCAGTCATGTGCCATTTGTTTCGCTTTGGATTTCACTGTTTTCAATTATATTAATAGAATTTATTGCGTCCCCACATATGTTTTAAATTGGACAATACAACTACTACTCATTGCTATTTTTTATATATTTCCTTGTTGATAAATCATTAGTCCAATTATAATTAAGAATGAAAATGTATACAGAGAAAGACCCCATTTCTTCTGGGTTGGACCTCAGAGTTCATATATTATTCATCATCCACGACTCATACTCTGGCAGTTACCATCATTGATCCAGAAAAGAGCACCCCACTGAAAGCAAGAAAACAGCTTCAACTAGAACTCACATTAGTCCTTGAGCTCCGACCCCCGACGGCGCCGCAGGGCTGCGACCCAGAAAGGCTATGAGGCGCCTGGAGTGTGGCCGCCCTGCAGAGGAGAGAGAAGGGCCGGTGGGAGGAAACCTGCCGACAACGCTGGCTTTCTGCGTTTCCTTTAGTCAGTATTTAGGCACCTATCAATTTTATTGTATAATTTTTATCTGAACAAAGGAAAGTTGGTAAGAGAGTAAATCCTAAAAGCTCTCTTNGTATAATTTTTATCTGAACAAAAGAAAGTTGGTAAGAGAGTAAATCCTAAAAGCTCTCTTCACCAAAAAAAAATGTTCTGTAACTATATCTGGTAACTGATCTTAACCAGACTTACTTGTGGTGATTACTACGCAAACTGTACATGTATTGAATGGTGTACACCTGAAACTAATAAAATGTTAGATGTCAACTGTATCTCAATGAAAAATAAACTTAAAAGTATTACCTAATAAAAACAAGAACAAGATCCTTGAATATTTCTAACATCAGTTTACGAAATCATTTTCCAAATACATGATAGCTCTGTATTTAATAGTCCTCAATCCTACACATTATCAATGAATCAACATAAAGGCTTCATATCATATCTATTGTTGGGCATGCTTGATATTTTGATTATTTAATATTTTTAATAATAGAGTAAATGCCTTTAAACAAATGACCCTTGCGTTCCAAGATGACCGCTTCGACAGCTACCCACCTGGTCTCTCCAGGCACAGGGGCGGCAGGGCAATCCCGGCAAGGTGGCAGCTGAGCTCGGCCTGAGCGCACCTTCTGGAGGGTGCCAAGCAGACAGGTGACAAATGCATGCAGGTAATCTCCGCATTGGTCCATATATTAAACCATTCATTTGCAAAATCATTTAAGCATTTATCATTTTGATGAATATTTCATTATTTTTCTCCTAATAAACGAAACATCTAAGTTGTGACTGGCTCAGTCAGTCACTGACCATTCCATCTCGTGGCCTAATTCTGACCCAAAGACATATACACATAACTGGGTTATTGTCTCTTTCACTGTATAGTATCCTACTCTTTATAATATATTTTAACAAAGAATAGCACTTCACTCTATTCATATGTATTCACTATGTTTATTTATCTTGCTACTTCCCATAAGGTTTATAAATATTCATGTACACAAAGACCCAGAACATAATCCTTTATACACCTAACCTCTCTCTATAGGATCCTGAATATCTTTAAAGTTAGTCTATAGAATTACTTCTCACTAACAAATATATATGTTTGTTTAACTGACCTCAATACTTCCTATACAGATTAACTAACATAATGCTTCATATGAACCAAATTTTACTATTTTAAAAATTTCGTGACCATTGATTGTATTTCCCACTATTTAAAAGTGCAGTGAAAGCCACTTTAAAAAAACAGAAAACCAAGAAAAGGAATTTGACTGTCACTCACGTTGGCCGCCTTGCTTTTATCACATAGATGCCACCAAAGGGCTTATGGACAGGGAAGGTGGTTCCATCAGCTCAAATGCCGTCCTTCTATGGAGTGCAAGACAGAGCAAGGGATAGAAAAGACTGAGACGATGCACACGGTCCTTGCATTGCGCCTGTCGTTTAGTCAATTAGGATAATGTATATTTTATTTTCTACAAGTAAACAAAATAAAATCTAGCCACTGAGAGAGAACACTATTACGCATCAATATCTATATCACCCTTCATCAATTAAACCCTTTGAATCCCATATTCCCTTACACATGTCAGTGTTTCAAATGCACATAAATACTATTCCTTGACTCACCACATATTTTTATAATTGGACAATATTTAAGCACCTTCAACTTTATTTATTTATAGGTTTATTGATCTTATTGATCCAATTATAAAAATAGAAGGAAAATGCATGAACATGAAGGAAAAAAAATAAAAACCTCATATGTTCCTGACGTCTGTCTACAGAATCGCCTCAGACAGGACAATGGGCCAAACTGCATTTCCGTTGGACCTCAGAGTTGGACACGTATTCACCGTGCAGGACTCATACGCCACCAGTAGTCATCATTGATCCAAAAGTGCCCCTGTGTTTTCATTCATTTCTAGACTGCCTAGACTAATTAATTCACTAATAATAAATTTAAAACCTTGCCATCCCTAATCCATTAATAGAATCATTCTCAAATCAGTGTCTTTTTTTAAAATTATGTGTGATTCATCTATGCATTAATCAATATAATGTTTCATAAAAGTCAGCATTTATTATTGAGCTGCAGTTGGCCTTCTATGGTTCTGTACGAAACTTTTGAAAATCAGAATGACAGCTTTGACCAGTACTCACATTGGTGTGTGCGCCTCTCACAAGTAAGCAGTCAGAGCTCCCACCACCAGGAAATGCTTCATGTGTTCATTCTGAGAAGCACAAAGCATATTTGATGATAAAAAACAAATAAGCACAATTTTTATTCCCACTGAATCTTTATTTCCACATTTTATTTCTCAGATAATTAAGGAATTTAACTAAATGAAAGATCTCACTGAGCACAATACCGTCTAGATCCACCCATGAGGCTGCAAAAGGAAAGATCTCGCTCTTTTTCGTGGCTGAGTAATATTCCTCTGTATATATGTATCACATTTTAATCTTCACATCTAATGATGGGTTCTTTGGTTGTTTCCCATGTTTTGTCCATTGTAAATAATGCCTCAGGGAACATAGGGCATTCATCAGCTGTGACTCAGATGCCACCAGGAGTCATCATTGATCTAATATTGTACCTCTTTTCTTCATTGTTATCTAATTATTTATTGATCAATTCATCAGTAATTATAATTTTAAAAAATGGTTATCCACAGAAATGCACACAGAATCTAGATATCCCTAATGTAGACTTAGAATCATTTTCATGTCAATATCTCTCATTAATTATTCTCAATTTTTACTATGTACATTAACAAATGTAATGCTTCATATTAATCCCATATTTCTCAGTGGGCTATAAGTTTGAATTTCATTGATTATATTGCACAGTTTTCAAAATTATAGTGAAAACAGTTGAAATATGAAGCTAAGACAAGAACTCTATTACTCACATGGCCTACATGCTTCTAACATGAATGCAACCGGAGAGCTTGCGACTATGGGAGAATCCTTAGGGTGCATCCACTCTATGGAGTACAAAGCGGAGCAGAAGATAAAAAATTGCAAACTTTATCTTTACTGATGCTTCTTTTCTGCATTTTATTTATTCTTTTAGACATTAATGCTTCATAATGTAATATATTTTCTCTTAACTAAAGAAAATCTTAAACTTGAGACTGACCCAGAGCAATAGTACTGAGTCTTACTCATCAATTTCTACATGGTTCTTTGACAAAAAGGCCAATGCTTCATCCATTTATTACACAATAATTTTTAATGTAACTCAACATATTTCTTGCCTCAGGACATACGTTCCTAGATGGACAATGTTTCACTCTCTTCTCTTTAGCTGTTAATTACATTCTTAATGCTTTGATTACTGATTTGTTAATAACAATAAATCTAAATACGAGTACTCAAAATAAGAACATAATCTTTGTATACTCCCAGCATCAACCTAGGGGGTCGTTTACAACAGAAGAGAAACCAAAATTCTGTTTCTTCTGTATTCAAGACACAGGCACTAGTACTCAACGTAGTAACTCATAGGTGACAAGTCATCACTAGTGGCCCATTTTTGGGTCTCCTTTTCTTTACTTATTCCTGTAGTGTAATGATTAAATCACGAATTCATTGACAATAAAATAAATGCATGACCCATAAAATCACAAGAAAAAGACCCCTGACTCACTTCGGAGCCACACAGATTATATGTTTCACTAATTGACGTCAGTGTTGCACATTGACAATTAATCAACATAATATTTCATATTATATTCCTCACTGATCCACATTAACTTTTTAATTATATACATTACTTTATAATAATACCGTGAATGCTTTTTCTTTTATAAAAGAAAATCACCCAAACCCCAGTAAGATCCTTGCCTATTACTGAGCTCAGTCTCTGCTGCCCGACAGGTAACATGACCTCCGTCCCAGCAGATGCAGGGATCAGCCGGATGCATTCATTCTGAAAAGTACAAGCGCACAGCACAATACCAGGCATTAACTTTATAATGTAATGCAAATATATTCATTAAAATTTAAAGATTATCCCTACAGGCATATAACGAGAATGAATATATGTCACATTAGGGAACAAAACAGTTCAATTAGGAGACAAACGAAACTCATCCAAAGTAAATCAAAAAGGAAGGGTAACAAACAGAAAAAGCCAATGAAGAGAAAGCAGGAAAGTTAAGTTAGAAAAACAGAAATACTGCATCAAATATGCCGGTCCTCACGAAAATGGAAAACAACAGATTATCCAGATAGGACATAAATAATCAGAATATATATTTAAAATTCAACTACAGGATATTAAAAACAAAAAAAGATTGAGACATTTGCTCCACTGTGCCATATGGTCCAGGGTTCAGTTACAGACTCATCTGAGCCTTTATTAATTTGGGGGTTATTTATTTATTTCGATCTTGGTACAATAAACGTCCAGCTAGCGCGGGACTGAGCCACAGTGACTGCCTGTGGGTGTGGCCCCGGCACCAGCGCACAGCGCCCTCATGTCCATATTCATTTTCATTATTACATGCTTCATTCATGAACGAAGACTCGCCCTGCTCATCTTTATTCACTTAGACATTCGTCTATTTGTTCTGCCACTAAATCTTTAATAATA